GTAGGGTAAAGGTGGTGAAAATTTAATGGTTTCTGCCTTAAGACACCCTAATGGAACTGTAATAAGGACTGCATCTCCTGAAAACTCTCGTCCATTTGACGTAGAAACTTTTACCTTGTTAAACAAGTCATTTTTTGTCGGAATGTCTTCTTTGCAATATGAAATATCAGTTACAATGTGGTTTAAGTGAACGCAAAGTCCCTCACCCAGTGATTCAACAACGGAGCTGTAGCCGCCTTTAATCATACAATGAGCTCCACCAAAACCTCCATATGCATCATCCTGATTCCAATAAGGAAGAGAGACTTCTTTAAGTAATGCAGCACAACCATACTCCAAGTTGGCAAAATGCCAATCCATTACCCTCCTCTCAAGAGGGCTCAAGATCTCTATCTTAGAACTAAGATTTTGAGAAGTTCCCCAATCAGGAAGTGCCATGGATTCCACTGCTGTTACTGATGATTTTTGTGGTTCATTACCCATATGATTTCTTGCAAAACGAGCCTTGCGCCGTCTCTTAAGTGCATATTCTAAACCATCCTCCAAAGACATCCGCATCGCATGCTCCCCTTTTTGAGCAACCAACAGTACCATATCATCCAATAAGCTATTGAATTCTGCTTCCAATGCTTCATCTAGATCTGCTGGAACTTTCTGGCCAGTAGCTACATCGTACAGTGGACAATCACTGTTCAACACGGTCAATTCAAGACCCAACTGTGCACAAATCAATGAAGAAGGATCCGGTCTTCTTTCAGTCGCCACATCTGCCTCAATACCGGTAATAATGCTAGCACCAAGGTCCACCGGGACAGAGAGAGATGAGAGATCTGTAAAAACACGACCACCAATTCTACTTCTGGCCTCGAGCATGGTAACATGGAATCCTTGGCGTTTCAGGTGCCGTGCTGCGGTTAGGCCAGCAGGACCAGCACCGACAACAATTATTCTTTTTTTCCCTTTTGCATCACAACATGTGTTTTGCCTCTGACTCCTGAATGAGTCAGGTGGGAACCCACAAGTATCTTCTGAAATCACAAGATGTTTATCGGCTGTTCTACCATCAATCTCTGTACTGTTAGGAGGCAAAAAATCTGGATGTACAATATTCTGTAATTCACTATCCTTAACTTCACCTGAAGGCACTGGACCAACTGAACCTAAATCAAATGGTTGACAGGGTGACTGTATATTAAGATAACCATTTACCTGCAAATCATCAGCAGGACATTCTCGTTGCTCTGATAGAGTAGATAACTCTACGGCCGGCCTATCAATGAGCTGGCAATCAGTTCCACCGTTTTCTGTCTTTTTCCCTTCATCAGATAAAACATCATTCTTCTCTGGCATGACAATCTCAGAACTCTTTGATCTCCCAAGAATAAAAGAAACTCCATCATCCGTATCAGTAACAGGAGCTCCAGAGTTTTCTACAAATTTTTCTTCTGTCAAAATTTTCAAGTTGTGATCGACACCATTTTCAGCTTTATCCTTTTCTGAAGCAATTCCAAAATTTATGTAGCCCTGTTTAAAAGTGGTTAAACTGTGAAAAATAATGATAAACAAGCAAGCAAAGAGATGAACCAAAAATAGTTTAATGTAGAAAGATCATATTAAAAAAAGGGCAGATCTCCAGCTTGAATAAGAAAACTCCAATGTGAACTTGGAGGATTGCAAAATACTTACACAGTGATCAAGAAAAGAATAGATTTGCCTAATTAAAGAAGCCCGAGGTGATTCATCCGCCAAAGGGGTTTCAGACACTCCACATTCTGAAAGAGGTAAGACACGACTGATGTCTTTATTCCAAAGGCTCAAAATCTGATTCCTGCATCGCAACAAAGATTCACCAACCAACAGAAGTCAATAATGAAAATGAAAATATGAAAAATAACGAAGATTGAACTGCATCATAAAGGAAAGTTAACATGCAGTAAATTCCCTGATCCCAAACTGTACGCAAGTTAACAATGGAAAGTGCCAAAACCAAATTCCTTAAGTCACAAAACTCAGATTTATAATAGAGATAATAAAGAAGCTTTCAGGAATAGTTATTAGAGAGAGTTTTTTTATATTACAGAAATCCCGGTTTTTGGCGTGACTCAGTTGGTGCACCCGCCTTCCCCCCTACCGTTGTTCTAATAGAGAAACCCTGTTAAAAAGAATACCCGGAACAATATTCTAATTGTCTATGCATGTGCATACATATATTACCTGCCTAAGAGTGGCTTTAGAATAAATTATATCAGAAGAGGTGAGGTGGACATGTATAAATTCCAGTACAGGCTGCAGGTTAGGGTAAGGTGAGAAGCCTAAAGACCCATCCACCTGCATTGCACGAAAATTTTAAACTTTTTTACTGTTTAAAATTTTCTTTTTCAATTAGAATTTGTCTTATATTATCACCTTCCTAAATGAATCATCACCTCTCATGTTCCTAGTTCAAACTTTTGCAGCGCTCATGAATGCTATGTTTGGTTGAGAAGAAAGGGGCGTTGGAGGAGCGGAAATGGTAAAGGGGGATTGCAATGCTCATGAACGCTGTCTTATCCTCCCCTCCCCTTCTTGGAACCAAAGATAGTGTAATAGTATTCTCGCGGGATGCATCATGGAATGATTGGTACTTTGAATCTTTAGATAGATCTGAATCTAACAACCCGTCAAAAAATGAAACTACTTGCTCCCTTCTCTTACGCACCACCAGAGGATGAACGAAAGGACACACAAACGAGGGTGGAACACCTTATACTCCAACGGTTATGATAATTGCCTTCCAAGAAATTGACCTATGTTCGACTCCTCAGATCCTATGGTGTGGGATAATACTGGGTATGTTATTGTTGTTGTTGTTCATAAACTAGAAAGTATATTTAGCTCAAAATGATCTAAAATACTAAACAAAGTAAAACAACATAATATTGGACAAAGCAAATAGCTCTTTGGTTCATCAATGGTTACCACAGTAGTTAGACCATAAGAGAGGACACCAATGCACAACAGAAACCAATGAGTTGTTCCAATTATATAGCCAACTAATCAGATAAAATGTGCTGTTCAAAGCCTCCGCCATATCACTAAAAATATTAAGTAACTTTTTCCCCTTTTTATTGCTAACAAAGTATATATTTTCATATAGAAACACATGTAGAGCTTAAAAAATCAACTGTTGACACATGCTGTGTGCATGTTAAGCAATTTGAACTTTAAAATACATCAAGGGTTAGAAGATGACATATATTGTGTATATCAGTACATGCATTCATCAACCACAAAGTGGGATGTTGATTAAAGTTCCTTACTTTTATTTATGCAAGACAGTCGATCATTTCAAGATTTAAATAGATGAATTTTTCAATAGAAACAGCATTTAGAGCTTCAAAAATAAACAATAATACATCTTTTATTTATGCAAGACAGTCGATCATTTCAAGATTTAAACAGATGAATTTTTCAATAGAAACAGCATTTAGAGCTTCAAAAATCAACGATAATATATACACCTAATGTGTGGAGTACGTACATGTTAAGCAAGTTGAACCTAAAAAAAGGCAGAATAGCCTAGTAGACACCTATATTTGTTCCGGTTTGTCATCCCGGTCCCTATACTCCATGAAGTTTCATTCAAACACTTGTGCTTGATAAAAATGATTATTATAAACCCCTCTAACCGTTGACCAAGCTTATTTGGCCTTTGTTTATCTGACTAGGATGGAATGCGTGGTATGCACGAGTAAAGAGAGCGTGAATCTATATTTTTATTTTTTTTAAAAGGAAAAATTCAAATATAATAATGAAAAAAACAGAGAAACAATAAAAATAAAAGGGAAAACACCCCTTCCTCCCATCTTCAAAACCTTTACCTAACCCATCACCCCCATCTACTGCCTTCTACCCCATACCCTTCATCCATCAAGACCCCCACCATCACTCCCTTCTTCCTTTCTCCTGTTCTTCCCACTCTTTACCCTTTTTTATTTCAAGAACTTCAAAATCTCTCTCCTAAACTGTTCCACCCAATCACCACTAAGCCCACCACCACCAACCACTACGAACTCCGACAACGTTTCACCCTAGATTTTGACAACCTCTACTTCCAATCCCTGGTAGATCTTCTTGTCAACACTCGCCCTTCCGATAGGCCATGACGACGACGATAGCAATATGAAAAATTTGGGATCTCTTTGGGTGGAAGAAATGGTGATTGGAGGAAAATTGATGAGATCTATGCTGCCTTATAGTTTCTGCAATCATTTCATAACCCAAAAATTGAATCCTAATAGTTTCAGGTGCAACAATTATGGTGAGATAAAAGAGAGAAGAAGTTGAAGCCGGTGAATTTTTGAGGTTCTCTGAAAATCGAGAGGGAAGGTGAAAAATGGCGTGAAGGAGAAAGAGAATCTGGTATTAGTAAAGAAGAAGATGATGATGTGGATTATGTATTTGACATGGATCTGATGTGTTATCCATGTCACGGCAAGTGAGACTCCCGCATAATAGGAGGGGTTTAAAATATTCATTTTGATCAAATACAAATTATGTTTAAATGAAACTTTGTGGAGTACAGGGACGGGGATGACAAACTGGAACAAGTATAGGTAGTATAGGTGTCTACTAGGCTATTCTCCCAAAAAAAAAGCATCAAGTGTAAGAATGATGATAATGATACATTTCATTCAAAAGGCAAAAACCACCATATTAAATCTGTAAGACGGAAGGAATACCAAAATAATTCCATGCATGCATAGATATTTTCCGCAAAGATATATGCCTGTTTCAATAAATAAGATAATGCATTAAACTAATTTGTACTGCAAGCACTCTTAGTTGACAAAATTTTACAAAGTAACTAGAAGGTTATGTGATGCGTTACATTTTCATGCAAAATCAGGGTGCGGTCTAGCGGTCAATGAAGTGGATGAGAACCATGAGGTCTCAGGTTCAAATCCCAATGGAGGCAAAAATACTAGGTGATTTCTACCCATTTGTTTAAGCCTTAATGGACAGAGTTACCGGGTAGTTGTCGCTGGTGGGAGGTAGCAGGTATCTCACGGAATTAGTCGAGATGCGCGCAAACTGGCCCGGATACCACGGTTATACAAAAAAAAAGCCCCCACCATATCACTGAGAGGGAGAGAGAGCAAAACGAAAGAATAAAATTCAAAATCCAAGAGAATAGGGGAAGAAAGATACTAGCCCCTAAAGGCTTTAGTCTAGCGGTAAAAGCACAGCTTGTGATGTGTGGGTTAGGCTCACGCCACAATTTCGAACCTTGCGACGGACAAAAGCCTGGTATTTAAATAGAGAAAGGTAGAGGGGCGGGCCTATTATCCATTGGGGTGTGCATTCGATTTTGACCCTTATCGATAATTACTTATCGATTATCGATTTGTACATATGCTTATCGTTATTGTTACAATAAGGTTTTGATTTTTTCGATTTCGATTTATCGATTTTGGGGGCTTATCGATTACACCAATAAGAAAATTTACGGGATTCCACGGAAAGTATATCGCTATAAACACGCCTAACTAATATGGACAAAAAGAAGCTAAAATAAGACGAACACCGTTTATAACATAAAAATTGCGTCAACAAGCACATGCAACAAAACTAAAGTAAGGGATCAAATGTATACCACCAACACTCCAACGGTATAAAAAAAAATACATCATCACGGCTAATTCTGTTTTCCATTAATTTTAACTTCATTCCCTTGATCTTTAAATATGATCATTCCTTAAATGTGGTAGAGGAAATAATAGGATTAGGGACTTAGGGTAAAGGAAAGGGTATTATAGAATAAGGGTAAAAAAAAATTGACTTTTTAGTATATCTTATCAGTTTATCCAAAGAGGACAATCGAAATCGATAACTCGATAAGGAAAATTTCGAAATCGAAATCGATAAACCGATAACAAATAATCGATTCGATTTATCGATAAACCGATTCGAATGCACACCCCTAATTATCCACCAAGTCTCGAACCATTCACCACTAGTGCTCGGGGATTTCTCAGTTATCATAAAAAAGGGGAGGAAAGATACTATGCTTTCAAGGCATACTTTATATACACTAAGCCTTCAAGTCATAAAACTAGCATCTTTCTCGGACTTAGATGTCTTCTCCTAGCAAAAAGCAAAAAAAAGACACTTCAGTTTTCTCTATGCATTCAATTCAGCATCATAACTATCAGAACCAGCACACATGTAAGATGTAACAAATCATACTCAATGTCAGCAAGGAGAAGAGGAATTGTTTGCAATGTCATCTGTCCAAAAGAGAAAAGAACTTTTTGCAATGTCATCCCAGTATTTACTGAAACTAACAAGATACAGGACCATTTTCCAAGCATCATTATTTCTTGTATCTTTCCCACCAGACTAGGCAGAGATAACCCGTGTGGATTATGTTGTTAGTTACAAATTAAAATATTAACTAAAACTTTCTCCCTAGTTTTTACTCTTAAGAAGGGTTCTTATCTAATGGTTCTTCAAGGAAAGCAGGAGCCAGGAGCATATTTATTTTTCTATGCAAATAGCCAGGGACTAGTTCATTTTTTTTTTTGGCAACAATGAACTGAGAATAAAGGAAAGATTATAAACATAATTTAGTTATCTCATGGACAAGGAACTAAAATAGTACATTTACTAGAAGACTGGATATGGTATTCAGAGTACAAGATCTGTCATTACCTGCATTCTAGATATTCCAGGAGTCCACCTTTGCGCTTCAGCACCTCCTTAAACTTGATTCTTTCTACTGGCCCAACTTCACGAGCTTTCAGCCCAACAGATACTGCTGCTGCCCCGCCATTTTTAGTATCCATACCTATCAACATAGACTCAAGCTTCTCTCTTGTTCTGAAGGAATGTCTACCATCTCCATCCTGATGACTGAGAAGAAAATCTTGCCCATGCACCAGAATTTCCCAATCAACATCACCCTCATAGGCCATGTCCCCATGCCTACGCTTTTTGGTCTTACGTGGAGCACGTTGACCAGAAAAGAGTCTCTGCCCTTTTCCCTCAGTAGCCAGTTGAGACTCAGTTTCTTCAGCAACGTTTTCATCACATTCTGGTGTAATTGATGGAGAAGATGTGGCATCAGCCTCATCATCTCCAGTAACAAATTCACGACTTTGATGATTGGCGCCTTCACAATTCTCATCAGCCAGTTGACTCTGATGGAAAGCTGAAGCGCATTTGCGCAATGAGGTGGCAGAATTATCAATAGTCATTTGTTCAGAAGAACCATAGATGTCATCAGCATTCTCCATGATTTGGTCCTCGTGCTTCATCTGGCTGGCAACTTTAACTTGTTGATTCCTTTCTATAGCCACTGGAGATAACCCACCCTCAAACACTTGACCATCCTCCTTTGACAACGAAACTGGAGCACAAGCTTGGTCATCAACAGAATCACCAGAAATTCGCTGCTCATCATAAATGTCACTTGAACGCTTATCTGCTGCAACAAAATTAGGCGTCAAACAAACTTGAGCATACCCACAACCTTCCGAGCCTGTCTCCTCCTTGGCTGCAGGTGGGCCTTCTAACAGGCAGATGGATGGCATCAAAGTTTGAATAGGCACATTTCCAATGCTCCCTTGTGGTTTATCAAGTTTGTTCAATAATTGAACGCTTCTACAAGAACCTGAATCATCTGCTCGGCTTGAAGAGCATATTTGATCATCTACATGAGTTTTCCGGCTGCTTAAAATTGCATTTGAGTTCATATCCATATAAGCATTGAACTTGGTTTCAGACACAGGATGCTCAAACTCAAGCTTCTCGATATTCTCAGGAGTACTGGTATGTAGAGACGAAATATCACGACCTGCTGTTATTGAATGATCACTAAATCCGTCCTTGGAAGCAGACTTTTCATGACAATTAGGACAGTTCTTCAAGAGACCCTCATCATGAAGATCCTTGCAATTTCCACCCGCAATATCATTCACACTGGCAATTTCCTCTTCTCTAAGTTTAATGTGACATGTGATCTCACCATCTAGGACACCTGAGACCTTAATGGAAGATGCATCATCTATCTCATTGCTTGATTTCAACAACTCATCATTGTTCAATGCAGAAGAAGAAACCTCTGGCCATGAAAGGTGTTGGACACATTCTTCCTTTATGGGCATTAACTCACCTGATTTTGACTGCATATCTACTGAAACTCTATCAAGTGCCACATGCACACTCTCATTGGATTCAGGAATTTCTTCAATCAATTTACGGCACATACTTACGGAAGAAACGGTTTCTGTTGCAATAGGGCTTGAGTTCAAAACATCACATAAAGCTTCACTTTCCTTCCCTCTTTTCAACTGCCAAGGACCGTGGGATCTCTTAATCAAACCAGATTGTGTTTTCTTCAGAAAAGCTGATAGTGAATCTTCTAGAATGCCACCATCAATGCAATTAGGAGAGCTTTTTCCACTCTTTTTATCACATAGCAAGGAGATATCCCCAGATACCTCCACTTTCTGTGGCTCCAAAGCAAGCTTTGGCCTCTTACTCTTTCTCTTATTTCCTTTCTCAAAACCTTTATCGATTGTCCCTTCAGATAGACAATCCACATCTGACCGACCCTTTTCCACAATCTTGGCCATTACGTTCACAGACCCATCCAGAGATTGCACTGTCAACTTACTTGAACTTTTCCCAGTAGTTGATACAGATCCACTATCCTTCTTAGGACCCTTCAACTTTTTCCTAAAACTAGCTAAGGTATCATCCATGCCAACCAAATCTTCATCCTTAACCGCTGCTTTTCGAACCACAGCCTTGTTACTACCTAGTTCCACCTTGACTTTTTTCAAGTTCTTTTTGCTTTTTAGCTTCAGTAAAGACCCAATAGGCTCATCATCTCCTGAATCAAACTCCATCTCGACACGCTTCTTAGGTGCTCTCTCCAACAATTTGATATTCTCTTCCTCCCCCATGCCCCTAGGGCATCAATCAATACACTCCCCTCCTCCACATGTAAACCCTAGCCAAAATTCCTTCAACACATTCAATATACAACCATTCCAGGGTACTGAATCAGCAAAACAAATCCAGAGTTCATAAATACAACAACATTCATATCCAAAAATAAAACAAATCTTCTTCCTTTTCCACAAAATTAGAGCCAATGCAAACAATTAATAATACTATTTCAGTTTTTCAGTTAACTAAAAGTACATTCAACATTAGAGCCTATGAATTGTTAACAACTACGAACAGCTCAAAATTGAGATGAAATAGTAAGAAATATTAGAAAATTAGGGTTTTTTGAGGGGGCAAAAAGAAGGATCGGACCTGAACGTTGGAGCTGTGTGTGAGTGTGTGGGGTCGCGTGAATGGAATCTTCTAGAGAGAGAGAGTGAGAAGAGGGAGGAAACACCCTCGCGCACGTTAGCGTTCACCGGCTAAAGGAAGAGAAGTTCGGCCACGGCCCTAAACCACACTGCGCCTACTGTCAAGGGACGTTGATTTGATATGACGGTAAATTTTTAGGGACTTTACACATAGACCCGCTTAATTTTTTTGTGTGTGTAATATTAGCCTTGTTTGACTTTGACCCAGGGAAGTGAGTGATTACGAGAAAATCGGATTATGCAACAGGCCAAACATTATCCTAGTTATATTTGGGTCATGTGTTGAAATTTGAACTTACGTTAATTGGTTATAGTCTGAAAGTATAGTGACGTGGTCTAAGTGATAGATAAATAAAAGGTCTAATATTAAATATTATGTGTGTGGATAAGTGAGACTCAATAACTATTGGCTTGTGATGGGTAGAAACTCTTTATAAATAGAGGTCAACCCCCCTTTCCTAGCTATTAGAAAACCCTAGGGTATTCTGCCTCTTGAATACGTGGTAACGGTAGATGTCCCATCAGTCAAGTTCTCCGGGCTGTGAGAGTGTGTTGCTAGTGGATTGTGAAAGTTGGTCTCAAGCTTAATCCCCATTTGTTGTCCCTGCTGAATCCATGGAGTTTAATGGTACGCTTCCTTAGACTCTGACTCTAGATTGATTGTGTAATTGTGTCTTAATCTCTGTTGTGGCCACGAATTAATTATCTAGCAGTTGATATCAGAGCCACCATAGTTAGAGATTAAGATCGAGATTTAATCTTGAGTTAACAAAAGTATATATCTTGGGTAACAATTTTGCGTTTTCCGTTCTCTGTTTGGTAAATTGATTCGACACTAAGGCTTGTTATAAGCATTCTTGTCTATATAGCAATCTATTATTCCCAGCGGAAATATTTTTTTTTATTGTGTAATTTTTAGACGACAATAGTTTGTCATTGTTTGTCGCCAAAACAATTTCATCAATGTTTAACGGTTGTTTTGTGCCAATGTATTAGGGGTTGTAACATTTTGTAGTTGGTATTTGTAAATAAAATCACGTATCAAAGTTAGTTAAACCTTGATACTTTCTGACGGTGGGGGCATGAGACAACGTTTTTTAATTGAGGGCTAAATTTTGTTAAGTTCTGTTCAGACGAACTTGATTGGTCCTTTTAGTTATGAAATTAACTCCATGCAATTATTTTCCAACATACAATGTTAACCTACTAAGCATAATTGACTTAAAGGTCTATTGTTTTTCTATGGATTTGTACCCTTTAATATATTTCTCAGTTTCTATTCAGTAGTTGATCAAATACTTAGCCGTTACCGTATTATATGAAATACTCTGTTCTAATAATAAATTAGAATGTTGATCTTGTTTTGGTCATAACGCTCTTACTGGTTCTTTGGACTTTTAATGTTAGAGAATGAAATTAGTAGCGATTAGATGAGTTTACATATATGGTCTTTATTTTCCTCACATGAATTGTTTAAATAAGAATTATGATTAATAGATAGCTTCCACCAAGGTGGTCTATTTATTTGGAGTCATTGAAAATTCTTAAAACTTTATACATGTGAAATAGTATTATACGTGGATTGAAAATTATGATTAATAAATAGTTTCCACCAAAGTGGTCTGTTTATTTGAGTCATTGAAATATTCTCAATGCACATATATAAATTGTCCTTAATAGAGTGTATGCTAGTGTTGGAGGTTTACCTTTTTTATACTAGTGACACTAAATTAATTTATGAGATAAGATATTACATTTCAACCCAAATGATGAAGCTTAATATCTTGGATTCTCATGTATATATATAAATTAAATGAATAAGGATAATTTGATGTAAGAGGAGGTTTTGTGTCTCTTACCTAAAGGAAGGACACGATGTAGCTTTGTACTCTTGGATAATAGGGGGAGGCTTTGTATCTCTTGCCTAAAGGTGAGGATTCAATGAATGCCTTGGACTCCTTGATTTTTTAAAAGGGGAGGCAGTTGCATCTTCTACCCAAATGAGGGGTATAATGGATGTCTTTGACTCTTTTGATTTAATATATTCCTGCCTATAATTCTATCTATTTTTTGTGTTGTTTGCTTATACAGTTGTTAGCAACATGACTACTCAGTTGAATTCCATTGAAACCGTGACTAGTAGCAACTTCAATAAATGGAAACAAGATATTGAAATAGTGTTAGGTCTAATAGACGTGGACTTTGCATTGACTGAATAGAAATCTGTTGAACCTACAACTACTAGCATTGCTGATGAAAAGGCTAAGTATGATAAATGGATGAAGGCTAACAAATTGAGCCTTATGATCACGAAGAGATCCATTTCTGATCACATAAAAGGTGTTATTTATTGGAAAAGTGAGAAGCAAAGTATCACTGTTATATCTACAATGGAAGCTGAGTTTATTGCTTGTTTTGAGACTGCATCACATGCTGTATGGATGAAGAATTTTCTTACTAAATTGCAAATTGTGAATTTTATATCTAAGCCGGTGACTATTTTATGTGACAACAGTGCAACTGTGTTCTTCTCCAAGAATAACAAGAGAACAAGAGGCTCTAAGCATGTTAGCCTTAAGTTTCTTAAGGTTAGAGATATGGTAAAAGAAGGTGATGTACGTATTGAGCATATTAGCACAGAATCTATGTTGGCTGATCTTTTGACTAAAGGTCTTAGGCCTGTAGTGTTTAATGAACATGCTAAAAACATGGGCATATTAGAGTCTTTTGATGTGCTTTAGTCGGTGGGAGTCATTTCATAGCTACTGACTGAGATATTACTTTTAATAAATTCTAATTTTATGCAAGCTTATGTTATTTCATATTTGTTATGTTTATTGACTGACATGATAATTTATTTATTTATTTCAATTTGACATTGCATAAACTCATGATATCTTTGAGTTTTGTTGCTTGTTGCCTTGATTATCTCGGGTAAGGCACAAGGGAAACCTCCTAAGGTGATATGATTTTTATATCATTTGATTTGGAGGCTCCTGATGTGATATAGTTATAATATCACTTGGAGGATTATTTCTTTTAAGAGGTGTGAATCTATTCACCTTGATTAGAAAGATAATATGATCAGCACACATGTTTGATCCATGTTGATAGAAATTCTAGCATATGTGGTCGTAAATAGAATTCATACCTTAAAATGGTGTGATGCCCGTTATGGTTCATTGTTAGTCTTCTCTATTGAGACTTAATGGATTGTTATACGGGTCATTCTATCATTGACTATATGAGTAGTGTGGCCATTGTAGAGTCTAAAATCTTTTTTCAAAATGATTTTTCTTAAAACTCAAATATTTTAAAATTGTTTTCTTGTCCTCAATTAACGTTGGCGTCCAAGTGAGAGAATATTGGAATTTGGACTTACGTTAATTGGTTATAGCCTAAAAGGATAGTGATGTGGCCCAAGTGATGGATAAATAAAAGGCCTAATATTAACTATTATGTGTGTGGATAAGTGAGACTCAATAACTATTGGCCTTGTGATGGTTAGACACTCTTTATAAATAGAGGCCAACCTCCCTTCCCTAGCTATTAGAAAACCCTAGCGTATTCTGCCTCTTGAATACGTGGTAACGGTAGACGTCCCATCAGTCAAGTTTTCCGGGTTGTGAGAGCGCGTAGCTAGTGGATTGTGGAAGTTGGTCTCAGGATTAATCCCCGTTTGTTGTCCCTGCTGAATCTATGGAATTCAACGGTACGCTTCCTTAGACTCTGACTCTAGATTGATTGTGTGATTGTATCTTTATCTCTGTTATGGTCACGAATTAATAATCTAACATCATGTCGATACTAAGAGAACCTTCGAAGGCTGCTGTAAGCACGTGATTTTTGCTTCACGAACAATCACTCTAAAAGAAAAAAAAAGCAAAAATAGTGACAAATGACCGCGCTGTACAAATCTTCGACTTTACATAACATGTGTTGTTGGTCATTTGTGGTTCTGTCCATGTTTTTTTTATTATTTAATGTTATCGAACAAAATATGTGTCATTAAAAGAAATTCACAAAAAATATGTATGCATTTCTAGGTTGTAATTTAACCATTTAAAAGTTTTTTTTATATGTGTGTGAATAATTGTGTTAAGTATTGATTAATGGGTATTTCAAATTCATTTTAGTTTAGTTGTATTTTAAAATTAGAAAACAAAATAAAAGAGTGCAAATTATTTAAGAAATCGGACTGGGCCTATTTATTTCAAAATTTTTGAGGCCCAGAAGCAGCCCAAGTCAGCCAGCCCAAGACCCATCCGCAGGTCATCAAAACGACGTAGTTCAATACCAAGACTACGTCGTTTCAAGGACTGCTCATCTCAGCCGTTCCAACCAATCCAATCCAACGGCCCATGATCCTTGTCAGTAACCCGTTTCCAAACCCGACCCAAGAACCAGTTCGAACCGACCCCCCAACCAAGGCCAAACGGTGTCGTTCCGTATTAGGTGAAGGATCCTGGCCATCAATTTCGATTCATCCAACGGCCAGGATCTAATTACCCGTTACATATATAAACCTAACCCTTTACCCAGCCCCCCTATACGAACACCCCCCTTCCGTCATCCCCAAGCTCGAACCCAGACCTCCCATTAGGAACCCTAGCCGCCCCATCTCCCCTCGCCATTAAAGCCGGCGGCATGGACGCCGGTGACCACCTCCTGAACACCCTAGGACCACCTCACCACCCCAAACCCAAATCTGTTACCCC